TCTTACCATGTCTTACCTGCCTGACAGCCCCGCCAAATTCGAACCTTCAACTCCCCCGCACGCTCGTTGCCCAGAGGGCTACCGGATGCAACCGAAGCTCCGGTGCAGTTCTCGAAGGTCACNNTGCTTCTTGCAAGAAGCTGCCGCCAGTGTAGAGGCCGCCTCCGTCGCCTTGGTGCACCCGGCAGACTCCAAAACATGCAGGCAGAGGCTCCAACATGTTCCTGCCTTTGGCCACAGCCCAACCCAAAAATCTAATTGACCTGACATCTGAGGAAGCCGCAAGCCCCACACCCTCAATCCCGAACCCTGAATTGTGTTACACAAGGTTGATTGCAGGGTCTGTGCCGCTGAGCAAGTGGGGCTTGCATGGCCCCAGCATGCCCAAGCACACAAGGGGACTCCCAGCACGCTCCACTAGCGGCACTAGTGACAGTCGCAAGAACACTGCTGCACAGGCTCCATCTTCACTGGCGCAGCTGCGGAAGATGGCGGAGCTGTTGGGTCCCTGTCTGAAGGTTTTCGACACGCGTGCACCTCCGCCGGCCCCCGAACCTGGGAGACAGCACGGGCTCCGACCCGTGGCGTTGAGTTCACGTGGCTTTCTGCGAAAAAAGGCCAAAACACTTCGCGGCCACATGCGGCCACACACCCTGAAACCATCGACTAGATGACTAGACCCTTCAACTCGGAGGCGCATGGTCTTACTATATGTCTTACCTGCCTGACGTCCCCCATCTTCGAAGCTCTACCCTGAACTGCCCGCTGCCCGGAATAACGAGGCCTTCAACTCCCCGACACGTTCGCCCAGAGGGCTCCCGGATGCAACCGAGGCTCCAGAAGCCGTGCAGTTCTCGAAGGTCACCGAGCTTTCTGCTTCTAGGGAAAAGCTGCCGCCAGTGTAGAGGCCGCCTCCGTCGCCTTGGTGCACCCGGCAGACTCCAAAACATGCAGGCAGAGGCTCCAGCATGTTCCGCAACTGCTGCAGCCCAACCCCAAAATCGCCTTTGAAACCTGGAATCTGAGGAGCCCGCAAGCCCCACACCCTCAATCCCAGACCCTGAATTGGGTTACATGCGTTTGATTGCAGGGTCTGTGCCACTGAGCAAGTGAGTGCTGCATGGCCCCAGTACAAAAAGGGGGCTCCCAGCACGCTCCCACTGGCGGCAGTCACAAGAACACTGCTGCACAGGCTCCAGATTGCGAACTGCAGTCACGGAAGATGGCGGAGCTCTTCGGTCCCTGTCTGAAGTTTTCCCTCACGCATGCACCTCCGCCGCTGAAGCCTGGGAGACAGCACGGGCTCAGACCCGTGGGGTTGAGTTTACGGGCTTTCTGCGAAAAACGCCCAAAACACTTCGTGGCCACCACCCGAAACCACAGACATCCACAGACTAGACCCTTCAACTCGGAGGCACATGGTCTTACTATGTCTTACCTGCCTGACGTCCCCCATCTTCGAAGCTCTACCCTGAAGAGCCCGGTGCGCGGAATAGTTCAACTCCCCCACACGTCGTTGCCCAGAGGGCTCCCGGATGCAACCGAGGCTCCAGAAGCCGTGCAGTTCTCGAAGCTCACCGTGCCTTCTGCTTCTTGGGAGAAGCTGCCGCCAGCGTAGAGGCAACCTCCTTGGGGCACCCAGCAGACTCCAAAAAATGCAGGCAGAGGCTCCAACATGTTCCTGCAACGGCCGCAGCCCAACCCCAAAATCGCCTTGAAAACCTGGAATCTGAGGAGCCCGCAAGCCCCACACCCTCAATCCCAGACCCTGAATTGTGCTACACGCGCTTGATTGTAGGGTCTGTTCCGCTGAGCAAGTGGGGCTTGCATGGCTGAACTACAAAATGGGGGCTCCCAGCACGCTCCCACTGGCGACAGTCACAAGAACACTGCAGCCCAGGCTCCATCTTCACTCGCACTGCAGCTGCGGAAGCTGGCGGAGCTGTTGCGTCCCTGCGTGAAGTTTTTCGACACGCGTGCACCTCCGCCGTCGGAACCTGGGAGACAGCACGGGCGCAGACCCGTGGGGTTGAGTTCACGGGCTCTCTGCGAAAAAACGCCCGAAACACTTCGTGGCCACCCCCTGAAACCACAGACTAGACCCTTCAACTCGGAGGCGCATGGTCTTGCCGTGTCTTGCTGTGTCTCACCTGCCTGACATCCCCCATCTTCGAAGCTCTACCCGGTGTGCGGAACAACAAGGCCTTCAACCCCCCCACACGTCGTTGCCCAAAGGGCTCCCGCATGCAACCGAGGCTCTAGAAGCTGTGCAGTTCTCGAAGGTCACCGTGCTTTCTTCTGCTTGGGAGAAGCTGCCGTCAGTGTAGAGGCCCCCGCCTTGGGGCAGGAAGCCCAGGCTTGGAAGGCAAATGCTGAAGAGCAGGGATTCCAATCGAAATCAAAAACGATCTGAAGGCTTGTTGCCTTTGCCGCTCAAGTCTCTCAAGGTCTTCTGCAACCCCTTCAAAGAGACATGGGCGCAGGGTCGTGGCCGGGATGCTCACGACTTGCGACACAACGAGGAAACGCACAGACCAAGCTGAAGTCTCTAAGCAGCTGAACATAAGACCCTCGGCTTGGTGTGTGACGCTGAGGTCGCCCGATTCATTGTCGACAGGACCGGCCTTCTGATGCTCTGCAGTTCTCGAACTTGACGCTGCTGTTGCTGACGATAAAGTCTCGCTGGATGAACAGAGCTCCGCCTTTTCCATCCTGGCCGTTCCGAAGCTGAAAACCTGAAACCCAAACCTGGCAGTCCTCGAGAACCCTGCGTGACACAACGGACAGGTCAACTCCGTAAAGCAGCTCCCACAGTTGCGTTCAAATGCAGGGCCGTCCGAGGTTAGAACTCCTGCTAACTCATCTGGGAACACAGAAGGAATCGGAAGATCACAGTAACGACAATGCTTGGTTCTACGAGCAAGTCTGTTCGAGTGCGATTGACGTCAGGCTTTATCAAAGCACAGAGTGGAAATCCACCACTCAGAAGACTAAATTGGATGCCTGCTTCAACATGTACCACAGAAACAAAGACTGGAGAGGGGCTGCCTGGTAATTGTTGTCATGTCGTGCTGATGTTGCTTGTAAACATTGCAAGGATGTTGGTGATGCCAAGACGCATGTCATGCCAAAACGTGCCCGATTTTTCGTAGATCTTCCGCGGAAAATCTGGCCAGAAAAGGTGATGCACACAATCGGGCAAGGCGCCCTTGGGCTTCGCCATTTGCCATTCGAAGTTGCTAAATTTTTTGAAGCCGCTTGGTGATGTATCGGAGGATACTGGCAATGCCACGGTCAAGGGCCAGGGCTCGCACTGGGGGTTAGGGTCTTTGGGTGTGTAGGCCTCGTGGGTTTAGATAGGGCTTTACGCCACCCAGATCTATATCCCAGCCTGCATTCTGTTTCTGCAGCCAACGAAGCTGGCGTTCGCGGCAATCACCGTCATCTTCCCGCTCACATTGATACCTTCATCAGGGCCGTAAACACGAACGGATGCCCCGTTCCTCTTGGGCAGGGCTTGGACGACTCTTCCTGCTGCCCGAGATGCAGGGTCCTTCCAGCTCCTGCTCCCCCATGATCTGTATCTCACCCGTCAAGACCAGATTGCCTGTCCCATGCAGTCACCGTCTCAGTTCTCAGCGCGTCAGATCGGAATTCTTCTCTGCTGGACCCAATCACCACCCTTCTCCGAGCATTCACCTTTTGAAGCTTCGAAGCGCGCAAGACACATCAACGACTGGATTCCAGTACCCGGCCGTAGAAAGTCACGGGTGCCTTGGAAGGTCAGCGTCTTTTTGAGGGTCACCTCGCAGGCAAACTCAGAGGAGAAAGGAGGAGATGGCACTGGGTCCTCGGGGTGCAAGCGAGGCTGAAGGTAGAGGCTTGGCAAGTTTGAATCATTAAGGCTTTTGCAGCTTCGCCAGGTATGGTTCGTCGGAAGCAGAAGCTTGAGTCGAAGACTCGTGGCGCAGTCGCTTGCAATTGCCCGGCCTGCAGCCCTGGCTTTCCATGCCAGGTGCAACTGGTGCTGAAGATGCGGGCTGTGTCAATGACCTGAACACGTACTGGAAGCCAGAGCATGCAAGGCTGGCTGTTGCAGCTTCCAGCATTACCAAATGATACTGCAACCGTTGCCGCCAAAAGCTGAAACCCACTCAAGCGCAGCCCAGCGACATGGCTGCCATTGTCGGGAAGTTCATCGCAGCCAGAGTATTCGGCCTGGGATACACAGCAGCTGGAAAGAAGTGTAGGGCTCCAAAGAGCTGGCATGAAGAGGATTGGAGTTCAACATGCGTAGTAAAGTCATGCAAAGCTCTTGAGGCTTGTGGCGAATGCTACACACGGTTGGTGAAGTGTCGCCATGAGAAATCGAAGGTCCTCCACTTCTCCGGTGGCGTTGAAAGACGCCACATGGCTTCACGACTTCCCACGGCACGTCAGCTTTTTCTGCAGCATTCGTGAAGTCTGAACCCGAAACCGCAAGCAGCGCAGACGAGTGACTGATTCGCCTGCCAGAAAAGCCGCACCCGCCTCCACCAGTCGAGAGAGCCCTAAGGTTTAAGATTAGGGATTTACACTGACAGGGTCTGACGGGCTCCTCAAGGTAGGGGGAATGATGCAATGCATGTGGAGGCTTTAGCTGGTACTGGTCAAATCCGAGAGTGCACGTGCCCATTCCTACCTCAAACCCATGGATCCCGAAACCCAAAATCAAAACCGTACAAAGCCCTAAACCCTAAGTCCCAGAATACACCCCACTTTCTTAACAGCTTCGGGAAGAGTGCTGAAACGACGACCTCGACCGGAGCTCCCTCACGCAGCGCAGTCTCGAAGTTTCGGGACACCGAAGCCTTGGTCCGGCCGTAGCTTAGAGGTTCTAGGGCTTCAGGGCTTCTGAGGCTTCTGGAGCTTAAGCTTTTGGGGCTTTGGGGCCGCTGTTTTGCAAGGGTCCGAATACCCAAACTCGCTGAGTGAAAGGCTGCGGGAGAAACTTGAAATCTGAGTTAAGAGTGCATTCAGACTGCAACATATTGGCAGCCAGTAGGACGTGCAAAAAATAACTGCAGCTGCTAGTCCGAATTCCCAAACCCAGACCCTTTATCCATGGAATCGTCTACCCTAGAGTTGTCAATTCTACGGGGAGACCAAACCTTGCCGCCACAGATCGGGACGCTTATCCAACAGCTGCAAAACCTGCGACTCTGGCAATCTATGACACAAGAGGCCTCTGCAATCGGGCGGGCATCTCGAGGCGTCACCTGCGGAGCAGAAATTAGCTTTCCAGCTCTGGGGCTTTAGGACTATTCGGAGGTTCGAGGTCATTGTGATGAAGGGGCGGATCAGGGCCGAGACGCCTCTAAGTGGCCAGACACAGCCGAACAACCGGATGCGCTTATCCGTAAAACAAGGTTGAGCCAAAAGATCTCAAAAGAGGGCTGATGGGCTCAGAGCTGGACTTGGAACAGACGCCGTGGGCCTCTGTTTCCAGGGGCTGCTGCACCTCTTCTCGGGAGGGGCGGAAGGTGTAGCCGGTGATCCACAGCCCTTGGGCAGCTTTTGAAGGCTGGGGTGTAGCTTGGGTACGACCATCTGTTTGGAAACTCGGATCAAGCCAAGGCTCCCAGAAGGACCGTGGCGAAGGTCACGGCGCGGGCCATGAGCCAGAGACACGGAATGCGCCCGCCGGCTTCAAGCCGGAGAGCTTATGAAGTCAAACAACGGAGCCATGAGCTCTCTGGCTGGGAGCCAGGGCTGTGGCTGCGGCACGCATCATACCTTTGCCTCACTGCTCCAGTTGAGTCTAGTCTGTGCATCAACCTTGTGCAGGAATCGAAGAAGAAGTATGTGTTGATAAATTCATTGGATGAGCCTTCTCAACAAGTTTCGCAAGAGAGACGAAAACGAGATTGCGCAAACAATTGTCAAAGGCCTGCTCTTTCTCAAAGACTGTCTAACTGTCTTAAACCGGTTTGCACCTCTTGCGCTTCGGAGTTGTGCAGCGCAATATAACAGTATAACATAACTCATTATTCAATAACCACGTCTGGCAACTCTGACTTTCTCTTCTTCGCTTACACACCCACACCTGTCGCTGATCCTGGCGGTTTCATGCGTCAGGGCTCTGTTGGCCCGGTCACCCCAGTGTGGTCATGCCGAACTCGACCGCACAACTGACGAACAGAACTGCCGCATGGGGAGAATGAACAATGCATGGACTCATGCTGCAAAAACTCCAAAACATTCAAAAACGCAAAAGATTCCAAAAGACTTGAAAAACCCGGAAAACATTTGAGAACTGGAAAACTTTTGAGACAGAAAGAGAGAGAGAGAGA